AAATGTTATATAAATTTAATGAAAAAATGTTGGGATATGGATCCATTAAAACGACCAACTGCATCAAAAATTAAAGAAATTATTAATAATTGGATTAAAAATATTAAAAGTAAAGATTTCGATATAGAATTAAAAGATGATATTATAGATTTTTATAAATCAGATAAAGCATTTAAACAAAATCAAAATCAAAATTTAAGTATTATTAAAGATCATCCACAAGTATTTTATACAAGTCGTTTACTTGATTTTACTGAGAGATTAAATGAAATTTTAGATCTTGAAAATAAAAGTTTAGAAATTAGCCAAAATATTGGTAATTATTATAATATATATATATAATTTAATAATTTTTTTAATTTAACATATATATTTTTAATTTATTAGAAACTTTAAATATTACAAATGATAAATAAGTAAGTAATTTATATATAAGCTTGAATATATAAATTTTAATTTATTTATATTAATTTATTTTTATAATAGATAAAATAATTAAATTTTATTTATAAATATATTAAATAATTTTCTTTTATCTTTTATAATTATATTATATTATTATAATTTTTATAAAACATTTATTTAGTAACACTATATATTGAATATAAATTATAAAAAATATAGTTTGTAATTACTCAAATAAACTTTTATATATAAATTAAATTATAATAATTAAATTAATCAAAATATGAATTATTAATACTTATTAAATTAATTATTAAAATCAATAATTAATAATAATAATAATTTATTTATTAATTAGAATTTATTTTATATTATTGATGATAAATATAGCTTATATTATATAATTGATAATATGTAGAATTCTGAATAGGTAAAAAAAAATTCAGGTATCTGATCTGATCTGAAAATTCAGATTAGGTATAAAAATTCATATTAAGTATGAAAGTTAATTTGATCTGAATTATCTAATTTATCTAAATTTAAAAAAACATTTTTTAACTAATTTTTTATATTTATTACTATATTATTGTATTATATTTTTTTATAATTGTTTTACAATCTGACAATCATTTTCTTTTTCCATTAAATATTGTTTAATTATTGATTATTAAAATTAAAATAATTATTATGTAACGCAAATATTACATAATAATTATTATAGTTTAGCATAAAACTTTTTTTAAAAATAAAATAAAAGTAAAATAATTCTGAATAAAATTCTTTAAATTCTAAACTATTTATTATAATAAAATATAATTAAAAATAATAAAAAAACATAGAATAAAGAAATAAATGATGAAGAAATATGAAATAAAAAAATAGATAATAAAAAATTAGATGTTAATGTTAATATAAATAATAATAACAATGAAATAAAGGATTTTGGAAATAACTCTATAAAAAAATTATTATTGAAAAGATGATGAAATTTTGAAAAAGATAATACATTAAAAGAAAATGATAAACATTTAAAAGAAGTTTTAATTAAAAACATTTTGAAAAATTTATAGATAAATATAATAAAAAATGGGTAAAGTGTAAATATTATAGATAAATATAATTTATATTACATAGATATTTTTAGATTGTAGAGATTAAGATTAAATTAGACATATTAAACATTAATAAATAAAGAAGATTTTAAGAAAAATGTAAATTTAAATTATTATGTTTTTGAATCTACAACTATAAAATTATTCAAAAATTATATGAGTTAAGAAATTCTCTCATTGGATTTATTAAATGATTCTTAAATAGCTTTTAATATCTTTCAAATATTATTCTAAGATTTTTATAAAATATCATAAAAAGTCAATTTTGATACATATATGTTTAATATAATATGTTTAAAGATTGAAATAATTACATACTTTTAATTTAAATAAAAGTTAAAATTATTAGAGTAATTTTTTAGCTAAGATTAATAAGTTAAATATATAAATTAATATAATTTTTAAAGTAAAAGTATTTAATATCTTATAATTATTATTTATTAATTTTATTATATTTACCTTTATTAGAAATAGATTCTATAAATCAAATTAATAAAATTTTATTTTAAATTTTAATAACAAAATTAATTATATTATTATTTTATATTTACCTTTATTATTTAAATTTTTTTCTAAATTTGAAATAATTAACAAATTATAATAAAATTTTATAAGTAATTTAATTAATTTATAAGATCAAAAATTAAAAGATATATAATTATATTATAATACATTTATAATACATTATATTTCTATTTGATCTTACGAAAATTTATAATATTTTAACATATTTATTTTGAATATTTTATATTAACCATTAATATATTTTATAATAAGATCTATATTTCAAATTTAATAAATTTAATAATATAAAAATTAGATAAAATTAATAAATTACAAAAAATTTTAAATAAATCCTATTTATTAACCTTCTATATTTCTTGAAATATGAGCTATATTTTAAATTTGATAATATTTAATATTTAAATATTTGTATATTTTATAAATTATATTTACCTTTATTATTTAAAATAAATTCTAATTTGATAAAAAAATTGAAAAATTATTATAGTAATAAAAAAATTATAATTATAATTTATTATATTTACCTTTATCACTTAAAATGAATTCTATGTTTTGGATTTGATAAAATTTTAATTTAAAATTTAAAAAATAAAAATAATAAATTATAATAATATTTAATAAATTATAATTACCATTATTACTTAAAATAAATTCTATTTTTTAAATTTAATAAAATTTAATGTTTATTATTTTTAGAAAATATATTATTATAATATTTAATAATTTATATTTAAAATTTATTATATTTACCTTTATCACTTATAGTGAATTCTATATTATAAATGGTAAATTTAATATTTAATAAATAAAATATACAATATAATTTAATCCAATTATAGTATTCAATAACATCTACCTATATTGTAAATTTGATAACATTTAATGTTTAAATTTGTTAGTAAATTAAAGATAGAGTATAATTTACAAATTATATAAGATATTATATTCACCTTTAACACATTTCAAAATGCAATCTATATTTCAAATTTTTAATGAATAAGAATTGGATATAATAAATGAATTATAATAGTATTTAATAAATTACAATTACCTTTAATATATTCTATATTTCAAAATTATTTAATTTTTGGTGAAATAAAATTATTAAATTATAGATATAATTAATAATGAGTTATATTTACCATTACAATAAATTTCTTCTTGATATCTCAATGCAAATGTATTATTTGCCTCAAATTCTCGCAACTTTATCAAATCCGCAATTGCTTGCCTATATTCACCTATAATAAAATACAATTTTCCTCGGTATTTTAGTAGATTAACATTTTGTTCATTATCTGATGATTGTATTAAATCTGAATATTTCTTAATCTGTTGACTTATTAATTTATCATTGTATGGATTAAGTATTTCAGCCCAATCCTCCTTTAAAGATTCATCAATATCATCATCATTCATCACTATCGTTAAGTAAATAATTAATATTAATAAAATAATTAAATAAAAAATAGAGACTAAAATAATCATACCTGTGTATTTAAACTTTCTATAGCCAAAGTTTGCTCCTATAGATCCACCTGGTGACAACATTCCAACACAAGGATACAAAGCATTTTTTAAATCTTGGAATGCAATACCTTAAAATATACATTAGACGTTAAATGCCTATTATTTTATTTAAAATAACCAACATTTGTAATAAAATAATAACCACCTAGATTCACTCCGTTTCTGGTATAAAATACCGTATTATTTCTAAAGTTTAAACAGCATCCAATAGTATCACCAGTCATAAATGTTGGTCCATATAGTTTTTCTGAACCCGCGTTAAAAATATTTCCATCGTCACCATGATAACCCCACGAGATATCTTCCCAGCCTACAATATAAATAGTAAAATAAATAATTTTATTTAACTGATTGGCGGTTGACAAAAAGAAAAAGATAAAATTACCGGGCATTTGATTTAGGCAAGCTGCTCGTGTGCAAAACCCGATTCCAATCTCCCTATGGAAATTTTAAAAATAGAAAATTTAAATAATATATATATAAATAGAAAAAAGTTCCAAAGTTTACAACAAACCCATTTTTCCCTTTATCTATAATATCAACTTCAAAATAAAATAATCCACATTGATCAGGTATAGGATAATTTGTTCGAATTGCAGCACAGTCTTCTATTTCACCCAGACCTTTATATTTGAAAAATTGAAGTTATGCAAGATTAAGTGATTCCATGAAACAGCAAAATTATAATAATGAAATATAATAAACAAACCTGTATAAGTCACTATATGTTTGTCTTCATTTAGTCTTAAAAGATTACGTTCATCATTAATATTCCATGCGGTTGGTGAATCCATATTATTGTATAATCCTATTAGCAAGATAGTAGAGTTGATTACTGAAGGATGATTAGTAGTTTGATTTGTATGCGTAAATTCTTTTACCTTCTTATGTAGAAGAATTAAATACGTTGCGAATTTAACTTTTAAGGAAAAAAAATTTTTTTAGAATATTCTTGATTCTCATTGCTATTTATATTATTAGATATCTTTGTCATACAGTAGATAATGCATTATGTGAAATTTTCATAAAAAATTCGTTTTGCAGAATTTGTTACATTAAACAAAAGCTGAATTGTTCAAAAAAGTTTTAACTAAAAAGAAAATATTCTTATTTAACTGAACGAATAGAGTTCTTTGAAAATATCAAAGCAAAATATAATTAAAATTGTCATCGTCAACTAACTTTACTTTTGGTCGATTGACTAACTGAGCAAATTAAATTTCTCATGGGAATTTGCTATGTTCATAATATTTACGTAATTCATTAGGGACGGGATCCGGAAACGATTCTAAAAAGTTTGCCTGAGTTACAAACCGTTTTACAAATTTTAAAATCTGGCTCCGGCTCAAAAGAGTCGGCTCAAAATCAAAATGATAATTACAGATCGAATATTTAACTTAACGTTCAAATTATAACTTACTTAGGAGAATCGAGAGAAACGTTCCCATCCCTAGCTGTCTTTTCCTGAAGTCCAGTGACAAAAATTTAGTACTGAGCTACGTCACATTCAATTTATTTCTTGGTGGCAAAAAAAAAACTTGGGTCGATTTTTATAAAAATGAACAATAGAACAATAATTTATTCAAGAAAAATTTTAAATTATTTGTATATACTATAAAATTTTTTATTAATACTCTAATTCAAGTTTCTCGATGCACTGCTATAGCTAGAGGCATTCCATACTTTTTTGTAAAAATGATTAAAATTACGTATCGCGTGACTGAAGAAATATATAATTTCTTAAAATAACTAAATAAACTTACCATTGTAAGTATAGTTCATCAACTATTGGATAACAAATTTTGATAGTTGAACCACTAGCACTCGAAAGCCAATTTATAATATTTCTAGCCTACAGGAATAAGATGAGAAATTTGTTCAACTCATTTTTAATTCAAATTTTTGAATATTAATATTTGGATCTCCTCGCATTTGCTTTTTTTGTAAAATTATAAATATTAAGCTAGTTTTAATTTATAATATACAAAATTATTTATATGAATAATAAATTCAATAATATTTGTTCACACAGAACTTAAGTTTCAATCAAAATCTAATTTTTAAATTAAACTTTATAATAAAATTTTTACCGTTATTGATCCACAAGTCTATTTCTTTATATTTTTTGACGTGTGCCGACCATTTTTGCCCAATATTAATTAGGTGTGGTTAACGAATCTTACAATAATATGTCATAATTTTGCCAGAATTAAGAATTGGAACTTTGAAATCTGGTTCGGGTTTCCGGTCTATTCAACTGAACGTGACACATCCGTTATTCCAGTGATATTGAGAGAAGAAATATGCTGTTGCGGACAGTGAGATAATGATAAATAAACGAAACATAACAACAATTAATGTATAAAGTTGCTTGTGAATTTTGATTATATTGCTTCGTTGTCAGGATTAAGTAATAATATCATCTGACAGTTTTTTTTTTTTTAAGGTTAATATAAAATAAATTATTTTTGGGGATCTATGCAATAGAACTGACGGAAAAATAAAAAATGGGATAATGAACATATCTCGGCCTGAAAATCATAAAAGTAAAAATTGCTTTCTCTGGCAGTTCTTTTAAATGATCGACAGTAGTTCTATATGAAATATTTCTGTTACACAAAATTCATGAAATTGTCATTGTTCGCGCGCATATAATAATAAACATCGAGTTTATTATCAATAAAAAATTGCCCTCCAGATATATAATAAAAATCGACAATTATGTTAGATTTTATTATAATTGAATTATTAATAATAGGATCTTCAATTTCCCTTTCACTTAATTCTTGTGAATTTTTGTTTATATTTAAATTTTATCATTATTACTATTATAGCTTTTTTCTCTTTCTGCTAAACAAAACTCTTCATTTAAACTTTTTTCACTTGAGTTTGCATTATATTCACTACTACTATAATATTCATGATTTTTTTGATGATTAAAATAGCTTGATTGAATGATTGAAAGTTTTAAAGTAAATATTACAAGTCTACATTGTTAAAATTTCTAATTTATTAAATTGCTATTTATTAAAAAAGATTATAAATTGAAAAAATTTTCAGATTTATATATGTATAGGTAATACAAGATAGCTTAAATTACTTTTTAAATTAACCAAAAATAGACAACAATAAATAATTTCTGAGCTACATTTAAATTAAATAAATATTATTTTATTCAATGACTAAATTTTTTGACTAAAATAAACTTTTTTATTCTTATATATATATATTGATCAATAAGAATTTATTAATTTAATTCTTTCTCATTTTATTTTTTAAAATAATAGCTATAAAAATAAAACATAAAGTAAGTAAAACAAGTGAAATTATAAATCATATTCATACAAGATCATCTTTTAAATTAAATAAGCAAGAACAGCAAAATATCAATTCTGTAAATATATTTGCGAAATATTAATTATTTTTTTATACAAAAAAATAACATTTATAATAATTTTTAGATTGTTGAAGGCTTTGAAAAATATTCTATAAATGATAATATAAAAAAGAAAAAAAATATAAAAAATTATCATAAACCTGAAACTTCTAATATATAAAGTCTTTTAAACTTGTATTTCTTTTCAAAATAAATATGATAGTTGATTAAACTTATCATCTTTTTCAGACTTATTTAATGAATACAATCTTTTATCAAAAACTGCTTCATCAATTACTAAATATCAATATACTAATATAATTGAAGTTGAAAGTTTCATTCTCAGTAGAAACTTTACTAATGATAAGAAAAATACTAATCCAGTTGCAAATTTTTTCCATTCACAAGTTGATAATAATTTAAATTTCAATATAAAGTTATTATTGGATAAAAATTTAGCTATCAAAAGTTAATTAAAAAGATTTTTAGACCTGCATAAAAAAACTTATAATTAAATGATGAGTATGTTACAAAAGCAAGATAAATTGAATGGTTAAATTTCATCTAAAATAATAATTTATCTGAAAAATTGGAAAAATTCACAGAAGAAAATAAGGAACTTGAATGGTGAGAAATATGTATATTATATTTATTATAATTTATGCAATAATTACAACACTATTTCTACTAATTTTTAAAAAATTTTTTAAATTAATTTTATTTTTAGTGCTTTATGAAGGACAGAGTTAAAGAAATTATTAACGATTATTTATATCCAAAGGAAGAAACATTTGTAACTTATATAAGAGAGTATTTAAAAACAATGATACTAGATAAAATGAAAGATATGAATAAAATATTAAATGAAATATACTATAGTGAAAAATTGGAAAAAAAGTGCTGTTTATAATATAATTATTTAACAAGAAAATTTATTCACTGTATCTGCAGTATTAATGACTATTAATACATTCCTATGTGTTATTTGACAGCACATAAATTGTATTGATAATATTGGAATGTTTTTAGCTTTTTTTGACTGTGATAGGTTATTTTCTTTCTATCTTATTTTTATTTTTATATTTTCATAATTTTGATTTCTTATCAGTTCATTTCTCTTTGGCTCTTTGATATATTTCTACATTAGTAAAAATGAGTATAATGCTAAAAAGCTAATTATATCAGAAAGTGTTCTTTAGTTTGATGGTTTGATCTATTTTAACTTATATATTTTTCAATAAGTTTTATTTTTATTTTTTTTTATTTATTATATTTTTTGAAATTTTGAATTCTATCTAATCCAATATTTTCTTTTTCATCTTTATCTTCAGTTTGTGATTTGATTTAATTTTAGTTTATATATTTTTTAGTAAGTTTTATTTATTTTTATTTTTTGAAATTCTTGAATTCTAATTAATCTAATATTTCTTTTTATTTTATCTCTGATTTGGTGATTCAACCTACCCCATAAAAAAAATTTTTCTGTGATTTAAAATTCTATCTTATTTTTATAAAAGTATCATATTTTCAGAATTTATAGTCTAAAAACATAGAAATTATCCTGAGTTACTTAGATTTTTAGTCATTTTTCTGTAAATGTATTAGATTAACAGAATTTTTACAGAAATCATAGATAAAATTTTTTATAAGGTTATATTTTTTAAATTCTTAAATTCTAATCTGATACTTTCTTTTTATTTTTGTTTTCAGTTTAGTAGATTGGCTTAATTTTAGCTTTCTACTTATATTTCAGTTTGATTTTTATTTTTATTTTATTTGTTTTTTATATTTGCATTTTTATAATTTTAATTACTAATCAGATTATATACTTTCATTTCATTCTATATATATTTCATTTTTATTTCTAATTTGATCCTTTCATTTTATTTAGTATATTTCTTATTTTTATCTATAATGTCTCTGGTTCTATTAACTTTTCATTAAAAGTTTTTTTATATAATTATAGTTGAAATTATTATTTGATTAAATTAAAAAATATAAGTTGAAACTTTTGAAAATTTAGGTTATTAATTTATCTTTAATTTACAATTTTCAAATATTTTTTATTTTTAGTGTTTTTATTGATTTTTTTTTATTTTTATTTGATTAGCTTTTTTTTGAATGATTTTCTTTTCAGATTATATGATAAAACTTAGTGAATAATATTTATCACATGGTGTAGTAAATAAATTAACACTTCACTTTATTTATAAATTAAATTTTTTAGGTTAAATCTTATTATTGCACATATTGTAAGACCCTATTTGAAACTATTCATCATTATACTTAGTCATATTTATAATAAAAGGCTAATTAATAAAAGTTAATACTTTCACTAATCAAGCAAACCTTATGAAATAGAAGTCAAATAAAACTATTTATTAGTGATTTAAGAATCTTGAAAGTTCCATTGATAAA